TGCTGGTGTCTTAGACCTTACCACCAAGGCGAAATGGAACCTGTCCCTTTGTCCTTGCACTATCTGCTCAAGCTTTAAAGTTCCAAACAGCAGCATTGCTTGGCCAAGCTTGGTTACACACCCTACCGGGCTCCCATAGTGGGAGAGAAGGTCCTGAGAGTCACACAGTGAGGAGTCCCCTCAAAAGACACAAGGTTTGCATGTTGCTCACAGAAAAATGACAGGTGTCCAGTACAACCCAGCTCAATAGAGTCACATCTGTAAGCTTTGATTATTTGTTGTTACTTAGTCACTAAGTCGAGTCTGACTCTTTTGTGACCCCATGGATTGTAGCCCACCAGGCTCCTCTGTCCATGGGATTTTCCAGGCAAGAATACTGGAGTGGGTTGCCATTTCCTTTTTCAAGGGAATCTTCCTAGATCAGGGATCGAACCTGTGTCTCCTGTATTGGCAGGTGGATTCTTTACCTGAGCCACCAGGGAAGCTGCAGCTTTGATTGTACATCATTCATAAAGATGGGCAAAACCCAGTCTCTCTAGTACAAAACCCAGTGCCCTACATGGGGCAAACTTAGGATTAATGGTCACAGGCTTGTGATGAATTCTTGCTCTAAAGGTTGAAAAACTTACCAACCCAAATTCAATTTTAATCAGTTAACAGCTTCCTGCTTCCTTACCCAAGGGAATTTTAGAAGTTGCAGTTGAGCACTACATACTACCGGTGTGACATAAAATTCCTGCCACCAGCACGATTAACCCAAAGGAACTTTCTCCTCTTGATCGAGTTTCCATTCCCCTCCTCAATCCTCCCACCTCATAAAAGCAAGACTCCAGGCCTCACTCCTTCTTAGCTCAGTGGTTACCCTTGAACTCCAAGGACGCAGCTTCAGACATCGGACCCTGCTCCCCAGCAGAAGGGCTTCTGGCATGAGCCAGCTCGATCTCTGGAGTGTGGCAGGCTGTGGGGCTAAGGGTGCTTCCTCAGTGGCTCAGTGGTAAAGAATCGGCCTACAGTGCAGGGGACACAAGAGACGTGAGTTTGATCCCAGGGTCGGGATGGTCCCCTGGAGGAGGGCATGGCAACCCACTTCAGTATTCTTGCCTGGAGAATCCCATGGACAGAGGAGTCTAGCAGGTTGCAGTCCATAGGGTCGCAAAGAGTCGGACACAAATGAAGCAACTGAGCATGCATGCATGCGTGTGGGGTTAAGGAGAGGAAGGAACAAGACCCACGGTGGAAGGGAGAACTCTTCTTAGTAAATAATGGCAATCCTCAGGACTTCCCTGGCAGTCCAGTGGTTAAGACTTCACCTTCCGATGCAGCGAGCTGTGGGTTTGATCCCTGGTGGGGCAGCTAAGATCCCACATGCCTCAGGGCCAAAAAACAAAACATAAAACTGAAACAGTATTTAACAAACTCAATAAAGACTTTAAAAATGGTCCATATTTAAAAATATTAGAAAAAAGACAATAACAGTGATTCTCTAGGTCTAATAAAGGTCTGAGACTGTAGAGGGCAAAGAGATATAGATGGAGATATGGCATTACTTTGCCAACAAAGGTCCGTCTAGTCAAGGCTATGGTTTTTCCAGTAGTCATGTATGGACATGAGAGTTGGACTATAAAGAAACCTGAGCGCTGAAGAACTGATGCTTTTGAACTGTGGTGTTGGAGAAGACTCTTGAGAGTCCATATGGGATGAGCAGATATAGTGGAGGTCACAGTAGTAGTGGTGCTAGAGAAGACTCTTGAGAGTCCCCTGGACAGCAAGGAGATCAAACCAGTCAATCCCAAAGGAAATCAGTCCTGAATATTCATTTGAAGGA